AAAGACATGCTGATAGGTGAATTGGCTCCTGTTTAAATGGCCCTAGTATGTGTATGTATGAATGTGAATTAGGGACCTTAGATTGTACACCCCTTGAGGGTTAGGGACCAATGTGAATGTACAATATATATGTAAAGCACTGCGTAAATCAATGGCGCTATATAAGTACATATAATAAATAAAATGAACAAAAAAAGGTAAGCATGTTTGATGTCCAACCTTTGTGGCTACCCCCATAGATGCAGTGGAGAACGAAGTGTAGCCATAAAGGGATAGGAAGTGTGTTATACACAGGATCACCAGCGGAAATTAAAGGGAAGGCGAATAATGCAGCCACTGCATCTAAGGACTGATAGGCACCGTCGCTGGGGGCTGTGGAAGCAATCGGAGGTGGTGGAGCCGCCTGACTGCTTCCACCTGACCGGCAATCTGCCTGTCAAATTTATACACAATCCTGGTGGAGCAGCCACTGGATTGTGTATAAAACCCCCTGCTGTCAAGTACGGACCTGGCAGCAAAATGGTTAAAGAGCGAGGGCCACAATGAAATGAAACCATTCAGAATTTTTTTTTTTTTTTTTTTGAATAGCACAAGGAACATTTTCCTCCTGCAGCCACAAAATGCAGGCGGGAGGAAGAGAAGAAGCTGGCTTTCAGTGGTTGCAGGAGGAAAATGGAGAGGATTGGTTTCTGTATATGCCGTCCCGCCTGTCCAAGTGTAACACAGAATGCGACGGGTAGGTTGCATAGGATTGGGGGGGTTCAGAATGCACAACAGACCTGCAGGATATAGCAGTACGCTTCCCTGGTTTGAGGTCAAGAGCCACATTAGAGGCTCCCAGGTCCCCCAACAAAACAAGTCTCCAAAAGGCCCACCCTAGAGGGCTCCAAAAGGCCCACCCTAGAGGGCAAAAGGCCCCAAAAGGCCCACCCTAGAGGGCTCCAAGGGCCACACACTAGAGGGCTCCAAGGGCCACACTAGAGGGCTCCAAGAGCCACACTAGAGGGCTCCAAGAGCCACACTAGAGGGTTCCAAGAGCCACACTATAGGGCTCCAAGAGGCTCACATAGGGCTCCAAGGGCCACATTAGAGGGCTCCAAGGGCCACATCAGAGGGCTCCAAGGGCCACATGGTTGAGCACTCCCAGCATAGAGATTCACTTCTAATCGCCTTAGAACAACCAAAGGCTGCCAGGTTGGGAGAGGTCATTTGCCAATTGATAAATAGGGAGAAGAAACTACAACCCATGCTGAATAATAAAGTTGAAAAGCAATGGCACAGGAGGAGTACTGACCACTAGGAACAGGAGGCTGCCATTACTGACCTCTTGCTGGAAATTCTTTCTATCAATGCCTGAATACTTGTTGGTTAGTAACTCAGAAAATTCTGAAGTCCTTGGATCAGCAAGACAGCTAGAATTTTCACAAAGGCAGCCTTCATATTTATTTCCCTTACAGTTTCCTTTAAGAAATGTTTCACCACTTGCCCTCCAGAGGATTCCCCCCCCCCCCTCCTTCCTGATTAGGCCATTTTTTTGTGTTACGGCACTGCGTTATTTTAACTGACAATTGCACGGTCATGCAACGCTACACCCAAATTACATTTATGTCCTTTTTTCCCCCACTAATTTAGCTTTCTTTCGGTGGTATTTGATCACCCGTGCGTTTTTGATTTTTTTTTTGCACTAGAAAAAAAAAAAAAAAGACCAACAATTTAAAATTTAAAAAAAACAATATTTTTTACTTTTTGTCCAGTAAAAAAAAAAATTAAAAAAAATCAAATTTCATCATAAATTTATGCCAAAATGTTTTTTGCTAAAAAAAAATCAAAAGACGTAAATTATTTGGTATAGATACTGGAATTTTTTTTAAATTTTTTAATTTTTACCAGTAATGGTGGCGATCAGCGACTTACAGTGGGCATTCTGACACTGGGGGGGGGGGGGGGGACTGACTTGGTGTCACTGACATCCCCAATGACACCAATACAGTGATCAGTGCTAATAAAAAGCACCGACACTGTACTAATGGCACTGGGCAGGAAGGGGTTAACATGAGGGGCGATCAAAGGGTTAACTGTGTGCTGGGAGTGTTTTACATAGGGGTGTCAATGTGCTTCACTGTAAGCACACAGCTTTGCATGGCTGTGCCGTGCAAACAAAACCCCGTTGGAGATCGTCGGAAATCACCGGGCGCTGGCGAGTAATCACTGGCCAGGACCCAGTGATTGACAGCCGCGAATGGCAGCGCGGGTAGGGCGCCCCCTACCTGGAAATGCAAATTCACGTATATATACACACGTGATTTTGCGCACCCATGCCGCCCTGTAGCAGTATTTCTGCTATAGGGCGGGGTGGAAGCGGTTAAAGGTCAACTTCACTCAAGGTTGATATTTTAATATAGAATGGTTGCTGTGAAGGTCAACCCCATGTTGGCTTCCAAGAGCTCTCAAGGACTACTGCATGAATTTCCAGCTCTATTCAACTGAAGCAGTAATCTCCTGGTCATATACAGTAGGTATAGAAAAAAATCGCTCTCTAATATAATCACATTTTGTTGCTTTGAAGCCTGAAATGAAGACAGACACAGTGTTTGTTTTATCCAACTGTATTTACTCAGTGCAACTTATAACACAAAGCAAAAATGACCACACGGTGGTTGAAGGCAAATAAAAAGGTGAATGTCCTTGCATGGTCTAGTCAGAGGCCAGACTTAAACCCCATTGAAAATCTGTGGAATGACACTGCAGTCCACAAACGGTCACCATCAAATTGAACAGAATATGAGCAGTTCTGCAAAGAAGAGCGAGCAAATATTGCAAAGTCTAGATGGGACATATCCCAACAGACCAAAGGTTGGAATTAAAGCAAAAGGTGGTTCAACAAAATACTGACACAAGGGGGTGATCCTCTTTCCAACTTGGTGATTCAGCAATTGGATTTTTTTTTTCTGACATGATGGTGTTATATCTTTCATTTGGATGTTGTAAGTTGGATAAACCAAAAACTGTGTCTGTCTTCATTTCAGGCTACAAAGTAATAAAATGTGATTATTTTAAAAGGGGGTGATTCTTTCCTATACCTACTGTATGTAGTGTCAGATTATCCCATAGGACTTCCAATAATACATACTAAACTATTGGGTCCAATAATAGAAGAGTGATATAAAAGAGCGTTTGATACTAAAGCGGTTGCAAAGACTCAAGGTGGTTTACCTTCATGCATTCTATGCATGAAGGTAAAAAAAAAAAAAAAACAAAACAACTTTTCTGTGCAGCATCCCCCCTAATACTCACCTAAGCCCTCTCTCGATTCAGCGATGTGCGCTGAAGTCTTGGCTATCCCGGGACTACCTCTTCTCATTGGCTGAGACAGAAGCAGGAGCTATTGGCTCCCAATGCTGTCAATCACAACTAGTGAGCCAATAAAAAGAGGGGGGGCGGGGGTGTTCCGCGGCTCTGTGTGTGAATGGACACACAGAGCAGAGGGAGCCCCCATAGCAAGCTGCTTGCTGTGGGGGCACCCGACAGGAGGAAGGGGACAGGAGAGCCAGCAGGGGACCCGAGAAGAGGAGGATCCGTGCTGCTTTGTGCAAAACCACTGCACACAGCAGGTAAGTATAGACATGTTTGTTATTACAAAAAAAAAAAAAAAAAGGCTTTAGAATCACTTTAACAAGCTCTCAAGCGATTTAACTTGCACATAAAAAAGAATGTACAGGCGTACCTCGATTTAATGCATTCTGCGGGACTTTTCGTATTGCAAAAAATTTGTAAACTGAAACATGGTTTCCCATAGGAATGCATTGAAAACCAAATCTGTTCCGGAGGTCAGAAAAAAGTTTTAAAATAGTCTTTTATCTGTTGAAAACGCTTTATAAAGTGCACTTTAAAAAGGCATAAATACTGTACAGGGACATGATTTAAAAAAAAAAAAATTGTAAATGTACTGAAAACCAATGAATCCATTCTGGAGGTCAGAAATTTTTTTTAAAAAGTCTTTTATCTGTTGAAAACTCTTTATAAAGTGCACTTTAAAAAGGCATAAATACTATACAGGGACATGATTAAAAAACAATTCGTAAATGCATTAAAAACCAATTAGTCCATTCCGGAGGTCAGAAAAAAAGCAAAAAAAAAAAAAAAGCAAAAAAAAAAGTCTTATCTGTTAAAACCCTTTATAAAATAAAAGTGCACTTTAAAAAGGCATAAATACTGTACAGGGACATGATTAAAAAAACAAATTTGTAAAATTGTAAATGCACTGAAAACCAATTAATCGGTTTGTATTGCGAAAAAAAATCGTAAAATGCACTGAAAACCAATTAATCCGTTCTGGAGGTCAGAAAAAAGTAAAAAAAAAAAAAAAAAAAGTCTTATCTGTTCAAAACGCTTTATAAAGTCCACTTTAAAAAGGCATAAATACTTTACAAGGACATGATTAAAAAATTGTATTCGTAAAAAAAAAAAAATGCATTGAAAACCAATTCATCCGTTCGTATTGCGAAAAAAAATCCATAAATGCATTGAAAACCAATTAATCCATTCCGGAGGTCAAAAAAAAAAAAAAAAAAAAAAAAAAAAAAGTCTTTTATCTGTTCAAAACTCTTTATAAAGTGCACTTTAAAAAGGCATAAATACTGTACAGGGACATGATTAAAAAAAATTTGTAAATGCATTGAAAACCAATTAATCCGTTCGTATTGCAAAAAAAAAAAAAATGTGTAAACCGGGGCATTATTTTCAATAGATTTTCATTCGTAAGCCGACAAAATGACATTGACTGAGGCGTTCGTAAACCGAGGTACGCCTGTAAATTGCAGCACTATAGGAAACACTGAAACGTATGAAATGAAATAAGTCACTTACTTTACAAGACAAAATGTTTCCAAATGCTGAAAACGTGTCATACAATGCTTTGTTATCAATGGAGTCGTCGAGGTTTTTGATGAAGACATTTCCTACTCCAGATCTCCGAAGGCCAGGATCTCTCTGAGACCACATGATACGGATTGGTCTACCTTTAATCACTTCAAAGTTCATTGTATCTAAAGCCCGTTCAGCTGTGGAGGGTTTTTAAAAGAAAGGAGAAACGTTCAATGGAAGATTGTCTCTTTTAATCTGTCAGCATAATGGAACTGGGTATTTTCATAACCATGCTCGATTTGCGTCACTTATTGATCAATGTTCTTACTCATTTAAATAATGAATTGATCACTCAGATATATTTATTTATTATAGGTACTTGTATAGCACCATTCATTTACGCAGTTCTTTACATATATATTGTACATTCATGTCAGTCCCTAACCTTCAAGGGGTGTACAATCTAAGGTCCCTAACTTACATTCATACATACACATACTAGGGCCAATTTTTACAGGAGCCAATTCACCTATCAGCATGTCTTTGGGGTGGCCGGAGTACCCGGAGGAAACCCACACAGGCACAGGGAGAGCATGCAAGCTCCAGGCAGGTGGTGCCATGGGTGGGAATCGAACTGCCAACCCTAGCGCTGCCAGGCAGAAGTGCTAAGCATTTAGCCACTATGCTGCCCACACAGTTTACCACATACAACTTCTTTTATCCATTTTTCAAGGTATTCTGTATATGAAAATCAGTTCACCGTGCCAACTCTGGTAGCAAGGTAAGGAGTTTGTCCCATCTCAGGTCTTGGTCTAGAATAGTCGCTGTCCGAGACCTCAACTGTTAGCTAGACTCGCTTAGAGCTTCATCTGCTGATTGCAATTGGTAAATAAGATTTTGTAGATATGGTCAAATCTTTTTCTTGAGGTCCAAAAGGAGGAACCAAGGAAGATGCACCAGTAAAAAAAAAAAAAAGAAAAAAAAAAAAAAAGAGAAGGTTGATTTGGCCCCCTGTATACCCCCTGCCTCCAATCATGCTTGTGAGCAAGCAGTAGAACACTGAGGAGTGGGACCTTTAGGCCCCTTTCACATATTCAGGAGCCTAAAGGTCCCCGAGGGCACTATTTAGCAAAACGCATTGGGGCAGAGCCTAGACAGTGACGTCATCACGCACAGCCTCGGTGGCATGCAGGTTCATGTTTGATGTTTAATGCCAATTACAAGTTGTGTAAGTTCATAATCTTCTAATAAACCTCAGTAAATTGGATTAGGCACTATAGAGCTCTTTGTATGCCCATGCAGGCCTGCGTGTAACAGTTGAGGATCTGCTGGAGTATGATTAACCAGAGCAGACCTTGAGATTTCCACTCGCCTGCTCGCATTTGGTGAGTGGAAATAATGTGTGGGGGCGAGTGTGTGCTGACACCCACCCTGAGGAGAGCTCGGTGCGTGAATTCAGTTGAACAGCTCCCCTTCTCCCATTATCTCCCACCACCACACCTCCCCTGCCCGCAGCGTGACGAGAGTCACGTGTGCCGAGTGGGCGGGGCCTGCTCTCCAAGCTTCATTCATATATCCTGAGGCCGGTGACTGAGCCGCAGCTTGGAGTGGGAGGTGACGAATCAAGCGCAGGAAGGCCACGCCAGGCAGGAGGGCATCACAGGTAGCCGTCACAGGGTGTGCACAGGATCCGGTAGGTTCAAGGTGGCCATCCTTGTGTTGGGGATGGGGAACACTGGCTGCTAAAAGCACACACACAGCCCCATAATAAAACACACAGTTAACCCTTTGATTGCCCCAGATGTTAACCTCTTCCTGCCCAATGCCATTAGTACAGTGTCAGTGCTTTTTAGTAGCACTGATCACTGTATTGGTGTCACTGGCGCTGTCAGTGGCAGGCAAGTCCGTTCCCTCCCAGTGTCAGAATGCCCGCCGCAGTCTAGCCGTAGGTCGCTGATCGCCACCAATACTAGTAAAAATAAAATTAAAAGAAAAAAATTCCAGTATCTATACCGCCATTCGCAAACGCTATAACTTACACGTAAACCAATTACACGTATTGGGACATGTAGCAGAATACAATTTGGTGTAAATTTATTTGATTTTTTAAATTTTTTTTACTGGACAGGTTTCATAGCAAAAATTCAAAAAATAGTTTTTTTTTTTTTACAAAATTGTCTTTTTTTGTTTTTGAATTGACATAATATAGCTATGTTTTAATTGCAGTTTTTTTATATTTTGGACTCTTTATTCTAAAGAAAAATTTAATTTTATAAGCTTTAAGGGGGCGTGGTTGGGGGCAGGGCTGGGGGACAGGCCGGGGGGTGGGGTTGGAGGCGGACCTGGGCAAGGTTGGGTGGGGCAACTGGTGGAGAGTAAGGTTTGTGCCTGGCTAGTAGGTCTAGACTAGAAATTTTAAGCCCTGAACTAGAAGTCTGATGGTATTCAGATTGTCTGTTGAATAGGATCGTGTGGCCAAAACTTCTGGTAAGCAGACTGAGTGCTCACATTTTGGGTGATGGTGCACGGAAGTAGCTGCCAATAGCTTGCAGAAGATTCACTCCACTCACAAATACCTTTTGATGAAATCTGCTGATGTGAAATTTAGCACACGTCAGTTTGCAGAATATAGTGCTTCTTTTGTACCATTTTTATTATCACATGAAATATGTAAACTTCAATAAATATCTTTACTATATATATATATATATGTTTTTGTACATTTTGCACAGTTTTGGAATCACATATTTATAGTTTTGCATATTTAACCCCTTGCCCTCCAGAGGATATACCCCCTTCCTGACCAGGCCATTTTTTGCGCTACGTTACTTTAACAATTGCACGGTCACGCAACGCTGCACTCAAATGAAATTTACGTCCTTTTTCCCCCGCCAATTAACCACTTCAAGACCGGACACTTTTACCCCCTTCCTGACCAGGGCAATTTTCAGCTTTCAGCGCTATCATGCTTTGAATGACAATTACGCGGTCATGCAACGCTGTACCCAAATGAATTTTTTACCATTTTTTTTAAACAGATAAAGCTTTATTTTGGTGGTATTTATTCGCCGCTGGGATTTTTATTTTTTTTGCTATGTAAATGAAAAAGTCCAAAAATTTTGAAAAAAAAAAAGTGTTTTTTTTATAAAATTTTGCAAATAAATAATATTTCATAATCATAAATCTTTGTAAAAAATTTATTCTGTTATCTTTTTAGTAACAAAAAAAAAAAAAAAAACCAAATTAGTCACCCTAGCAGTACAGTGTCACCATGGTGACACTGTACTACTTGTGGGGGGTGATGAAGATTTTTTTTTTTTTTTTTTTACACACATTGCTTTTACACCCATATAGGATGTAAAAGCAATCATTGCTCTTTCTCTCTGTGTGCATTCATGCACTCATTGAGAAGTACTGACTGAGCTGTGATTGGTCACAGCCTGTCACATGGTACATGCCTGTTGTGAATAGGCTTGTACCACGTGACCTCTGTGATCATTCACAGATTTCACACGTAGTAAGCAATGATGTCACAAGTGACATCTTGCTTACTACTTTGCATGTGATCACTGATTGGCCAATCAGTGATCACATGATCGGGACCTCATACAGAGGTCCCGTCCGACGATCGGTGTTTCACTGTGTCCGGAGGACACAGCGGGCACCGGATCGCGGTGCTGCGCGCTCCCAGGGAGCGCGCGCACAAGCAGGGTGCGGGGAGGTCGTTTATAGACGGCCACCCGACCCTGCACTGCCACCGTCCGGCCGTTTATATGCAACGGCCGGTCGGGAAGTGGTTAAGCTTTGTTTCGGTGGTATTTGATCCCTATAAACAAAAAAAGACCAACGATTTTGTAAAAAAAAAAAAAAAAAAAAACAGTATTTTTGACTTTTTGCTATTAAACATGTCCAGTAAAAAACAAAAAAAAAAATCATCAAATTTCGTCATACACTTAGGCCAAATTTATTCTGCAACATGTCTTTGCTAAAAAAAAATCCCAATATGTGTAAATTAATTGGTTCACGTGAAAGTTATAGCATCTATAAATATATACGTATACTGGAATTTTCTTTTTTATACTAGTAATGGTGGCGAACAGCGACTTATAGCGGGGCTGCGTCTGGCATTCTGACACTGGGGGGGGGGGGGGACCGACTTGGTGTCACTGACATCCACAGTGGCAACAATACAGTGATCAGTGTTAATAAAAAGCACTGACACTGTACTAATGGCACTGGGCAGGTAGGGGTTAACATCTGGAATGATCAAAGGGTTAACGGTGTGCTGTTTTACTGTGTGCGTGTGTTTTATGGTGTCAGCACATTGCTTTGTATTGCTCTGCTATGCAGAGCAATACAAAGCAGTGTGCTGGAGCTGACAAGGGAGAGATCTGTATTGTTTACATACAGACCTCTCCTCCCTCAGTGATACTCGACAATTCCCGAGGTGCTGGCAGGGAATCACCCATAAAGGCTGTAAAGGCAATCATTTCTCCTTCTCCATTCCTGCAGCCATTGAGAAATACTGTGAGAGCTGTGATTGGTCACAGCTTGTCACATGGTACAAGGCTGTTGTGAATGGCCTTGTACCGTGTGACCTCTGTGATCATTAACAGATTTCACAAGTAGTAAGCAATGATGTCAGACGTGACATCTTGTTTACTACTGTTCATGTGATCACTGATTGGCCAATCAGTGATCACATGAATCAGGACTTCACACAGAGGTCCCGTACAGCAATCGGTTTTCTTCAGACACAGCGGGCACCGGATCGCGGTGCCTCGCGCTCCCAGGGAACGTGCACAGGCAGGGAAGCAGGAGGACTTTTATAAATGGCCATCCACTACTTTACTTCTCCCGTCCAGCCGTTTATGTACATGGGCCAGACGGGAAGTGGTTAAAAAGTGGTTTTTTTTATTATTTCTTTTATCTTTTTTTGTTTTTGCACTGTCTTTTTTTTGTGATCACTTTTATTGCTGTCACAAGGAATGTAAAACACCCCTTGGGACAGCAATAGGCAGTGGCAGGTCCTCTTTATGGAGGGATCTGGGGTCAACAAGACCCCAGATCCCGCCTCTGCCCTTAAAAGCAGTTGATCACACCAAGATCGGTGCAATGAAATGCTTTCCGTTTGAGTGATGAATGCTCACCTCTTTCTGTGTCCTATATCAGACGGACATCGTGTTTCTGGTCTTTC